TGATGATGATGATGATGATGATGATGATGAATGCACGCGGTGTCAGTGAAACACGAAAAAAAAAACCACGACCGCAACAGCACAACCCTTGTAAAAACATAACACGGAAAAAAAAAATGTGTCTTGCGGACTCACCAAAAATGGTATGGAAGCACTCGTAGTTGTAAGGCGTATCTGTTGGCAAGGGAAAGTCTGCTCGCATCAGCTTGGACACTGAATCGAAGGGGGGAACTTGATAGCAAAGCTGGTACAGAAGGCATCCCAGCGCCCACACGTCACCCCTGTCATCGAGAGGCAAGTGCGCCGCGAGATCAATCATCTCGGGTGATCGGATGGCCAAGCGCACATGTGTGAGAATCTCTTCAGCGATCGGTCCAGCAGTTGCTGCTGACTCGCTGCGGTTGCGCCTGGTGGCAGCGCTGCCAAGGTCAAACACTTTGCATACACCGTCATCCGAGAGCGCCACGTTTGCCAGGCATATGTCACGGTGCAGCACGCCTTTCGCATGCAGCATGATGATGGCTTCAAGAACATCGCAAAAGATGGCATAGATCTGCGAGGGCGAGAGCGGAAGGTGAGTACGCTCGAGAATGTCTTGCACAGTGCCACCTGTCGCAAGCAAGGCAATCGGGGGAAGGGGAAAAAAACCAAGGGGTTGAGTTCAAGATGCTCATGTGGACATCAAGACGGGAACAGCACACTCAAACCCAACAACATGAATGAAAACGAAACCCAAAACTCACTGCTCGCGTATTCCAAGAGAATGTAGGCGGATGGTCCTTTCTCTCCGATGGTGGTCATTGCATCGATGAATCGAATCACGCTTCGGGTGCCACGCATTCGTTGCTGCAATTCATGTGTGAGTGAGTGTTGATTTATTTGTCGTTTAACCAGAGCCAGCTGCTGTAGCTGCAAAAATCGACCATGCCCTTTCCCGGCCCCCCCCGCCTCTCCCCTCCCTTCCCTATCCCAAAGCAAGACCAGCCCATGGCCACAATCCTAGCATATTACTCACCAACAGATCA